TATAGTGCTTATGCTATATATATATATATATATATATGGTGCTTATGTCCTAATAAAATTTTGCACATTTAAACTAGCATTTAGAATGCTACCCACAGCATTTCTTTCTCATAACACTCAGGAAAGCAATGTCCTGTTCATCTACCATATTGTTTGCTTATTAATTTGTGTTTTATTGCCTAACAGAACACAAATCCCAGGAGAGTGGGAATTTTGTTAATTTATGCAGCCCAAATACTTAGCACTGTGCCTGACAGGTGCTCAATAAATATGCACAAGATGAATGAATAACGAATGCTTAATTACTAGCAACTATTAGTACCACCAAATAGAGAAATTGATAAAAACATGGCGATACAATCCATTGTCACCACTCTGCTCCTTTCTAAATTCCCAGTTTCTCTTATTTTATGTAGACCCCTCACACATACACACATGCTGGAAAACCCTTGTGTTTTCCTATAGCAAAAATGAGATTGGAGAGGAAAGTTGGTTTTAGGGAAAGATCCAGATTAAAAATTGAATGACTGCCCATCTGTTCTGGGCAGCAAACTTACAACTCTGACTGAGATATTTATCACGACTGCTTTCTTGTCTTTAACTTCAGCCAAGATCTGCAGATAAACAAAAATTTTAAAGATTTGATTTTTTTTTAAGTTTGAATATCCATCCACTAGTTATCAAACTTGGCCCAGACCTAATCAGTTCTCCTTTCTCTAGTCTCCCCAAATGTCTGTAATAACAAGGGTAAGCAAATGCTCTCAAATATGATTCTGATGCTGGGATCTGGTGAGTTTCCTCTCAGAGAGACCGATGCTTCCTGTGGACTCCATGTTTGACGAGCTCCAAGTGACAAAATGGGGACATCTCCTTCCACTAGAGCTCTTAAGTTGCTCTACAAGAGAACCCCGTAGAGTCTGGGCCCAGCCCTAAATGTCTGGGCGGATGGAGCAGGATGGTAGAATCCAGCTCTCCCTCATGAAGACTGGGTTACCCGTCAGCCTGCGCCCGACCTTGCCTCCTGTCCTTGGGCAAGCCTTCAGAAATGCTGTTACAAAGTCAGGCAGCTGAGGCCCCAATCCTGGCTTTACTACTCACGAACTATGTGGCAAATTACCTCCCTGGACCCGCTGTTCTGTCTTTAAAATAAAGATGATAGCACCCATTGCTCCACACCTTGTAAGATAAATAGGACAAGACATACGTGCCTATAGAAAATCCTCAGTAAATATTGGCTATAACTATTACTGATGTCCAAGACACAATTCAACCACATACTCAACCACGTATTCAATATTTGGTTTGTTCTTTTAACCTCCTGGTTATGTGCTGATAGCAAGGTGCTTGATGACATCCAAAAGCATAATGAGGTAGATGATAATTAGGGTTACTACATCAAAATTTTATTAAAGAACAAGTAGGGGAAAGAAAACAGACAGTCAGTGGCGAAGCACCCTGTCTGCTTTGCCCTGAGTGTCACCGGGCTTCACAGCCTTTTTCTAAACGGTGAGAGAGTTTTCACGGCATCAGGCTGCTGGTGTTTACAGAATGTTTCATCGCTTTCAAAGGCTCACCCCTTTCTCTTGCGTAACTTGTGAGGTCAGAATGGGCACCAACCTGAGAGCCAGGAGTGTCATCTCTGAACAAGGTCCAAGACCCAACAGCGTGTCCGAGCCGAGCACCACCTCGGGGCGGCACTTGCAGTTGAAACCGCGCTGAACACTCGCTGGGCCAACTTTTTAAGACTGTCACGTTAACACCTCCACGTCCTTCATGACCTAGGAGTCCGGCGTTTGCTGCGAACTGCCGAAAGTGGGGAGGCGGGGGCGGGGAGGACAGTCTGACATAAACGCCACTATGCGAAGTTCAAAAGTAACCCTGGAAGTTTCAATTATTATTAAAGCCAGACAGAGGGAGAAAGGCAAACAAGTGGCTTGGCACCTGTGCCCGGGCACGGTGAGGCTCTCTGCTTGTGGGCGCCGGAGGAAAAGCGCAGGAGGACGAGCTCGGTAGAGACCCACGGGTGGGGAGGGGGCGCTCGTGGCCGAGCACAGCTGACTGAGCGCTCAGCGCGCTGCTTCCCGCTGCTCCCCGGGAGCATAATGGGTTGGGTAAGGAACAGTTAATCAGAAAATGTGCCCTGCTAACTGCGCGCATTAGAACAAAGCCCTGGCAGCTCCTGGAGGAAAAGGGCTTGTGCTGCTGCCGTTCAAACTTGTCAGTCAACTGGTGCCAGCAGCCTCAGCGTCTGCCTCCCCAGCACGCCCTCATTACATGTGTCCGCCCGGCCCGAGCCGTGCGGCGGCGGAGAGGCGCTCCTGACAGGCAGGAGTTTCTCCCTTTCTCCCTGGTTCAAAGCGCGGATTTCTCCCGGCTTCTCCGCTGCCACCCCCGCTGCTCTCCCCAAGGAGGCTCCCTGATTTATGGTAGCTTTGGGCTTCCTGCTGCGCCTGCCTGTCCCTGACTTCTAGAATGGAAGAAGCTGAGCTGCTGAAGGGAAGACTCCAAGCCATCACAGTAAGTCTGCGCACTCCGTAAGGTGGTTGCTAGCTGCCCGGGCACAAGCCCCTTGTAAGTGGAAAAACAGAACTGTCAGCCTTCGTGCCCGCCCCTGCCTCCCTTAACCCTTGTGACCCTCTGGAGGACTGCAGGGCAAAGCTCCTGGTTTCCATAGTCGGTACCTATCTTAAACAGCAGTCAAAGCTTTTAAGGAAGTTTGGCGACCTATCATTCACCTTTTGTGTACCTTAAAAGCGCAATTTCTATTTGACAGGTGAGGTCAAAACACAGATCCCTGGTTTCAGAAACGTTTAAAGCAGTGGATGCAGCAAAAAGTTCAAATTATTTAAAGGGAGTAAGGGAGAGAAAGAAATAAAAATAATCCACAACTTTTCATTTGCAGTGTCATAGTATGTCCCAGAAAGCCTAACAGAATTCAGGTGAATGTCGGGCTACTTAAGCGAAGCGTTAAACAGAGAAAAGTAGTAAAAGCGCAATTCAGATTAATTCTCAGAGACGGGCTTCCAGCACATTATAAACTGAGTAAGATTCTGATAGAGGAATGTGGTGCACGCAGTGGATTTGAAAAATATTTCATTAATGCTGGGAAGGAAAATAATGCATTTTTATGTTTGTTCTGGGAAAGAATCAAGGCAAGAAATGAATTACTTTTCTTAAGTGATCCAGCTATTTTTTATTTTATGAAATGCTGTGTTTGGCAGGAACCTGCGAACCTGTGACTCAGTCACTTATCATCCACTGCAATGTTTGATATAACTTTTTAAGGAAAAAAATCTTTGGAAATCAACACCTTAATTTCTCACATTTTCTGCTACTGAAGTTGACTATCAGGAATAAAGGAATACTTTTTAAAAACCGTTGCTATATCTGGGTAGGTAGGAGAATATCTTTCTTTGCTGTTCAAATTCTCATAGCACAACTACTAATACTAATCCTAATTTAGGCTTGTGATTAAATGGATATAGTAGCTCAGCTCCACCCAGAAAGGATTCGATAAGTGAAAATGTTTTCTTTGCCAGTGACAAGGAACCAGGACCCTGTTAAGAGACTGTCCCTTGCCAGAAGGCAATACTTTGTTAAGTGTCTAACTTCTGATTATTCTATTTTCCTTTCTTCAGCAAACCTTGGCCTGGATTGTTGTTTGTTTTGTTCTGTTGTTAAACCCAGCCACCGTCAGCTGTCCTGCTTTGAAGGGACAGGAACACCACTGCACTGTTGTTTTTGGCGGAGGCCCTTTACATTACAGCTGTTGTCTAAAGGTTACTTTCCTAGACTGTGAGAGTTTTGGGGTCACAAGCTCCACTTCTAACTGCTTCTGTCTCCTAACTGACTAAATGAAATCATATCTTCAACGAACATGCAGGTCCACCTCCTTTTTTGAACTGAGGCTCACCCTATTTTAAGCTCACTGCCTTTGGTGAACCTTGAAACTCGCTGAAGCCACATGTATTCCAGAGATACGGCTGTGTTCAGTTACTCGGGAGCACCAGGAATTTCCACTGAGGCCCCAGATGCAAAAAGAGACAGAATAAGGCTTACCGCGGCTTAAGAGCAGTCATGTGGGTACAAAGGTTCCTGAAACATTCGCTTTTTTGATGTTTTTTTAAAAATTAAACTAGCTTTTTGAATGATTCCATTAACCTAAACATATCCTATTAAGAAGAATCAAACAAATCTCCAACATAAAACCATAAAGTAATTCTAGCAGAGAAGTAATATACTTGTATAAAGTTGCAAGGGAAAAATTAGAAAGCGTTTATGGGGATGACCCACTAGTCTACACCTCATCAGGCTAAATCCAGTCACATTTGTCACCACCTAGAGGAAAAATGGAGCACTGGTGTCCATGGAAACAACACAGCCCCTCTCCTCCCTGCAGGACACTCTGGGAAATGCCAGCTTTCCCCTCCCTGGCCTTACCCAGGAAGCCAGCTCAGCTACTCCCTTTCTCCCTGAGAAAATATAAAGGCACAGTACTGAGGGAGTTCGCAAGGATTATCTCACTTTGAGAAGTATTTAAAATCTTCAAACTCTCTGACCTGGACTAAAACTCAAAGATGACCTTCTCACTTGAACTGTGGTCCCACACTGAAATAGTTTTCATAGGCTTCAGAGGCAATCACCAGATCTACCAAGATACAGCTCACAGGGTTCATTTTGGAAAAGAAAAACTTTTATACCTAAGACCTGCTTGAATATTTTATTAAAATGTGTCCCACCAATTCCTGGCTATAAAGTAAAATAATCTTTACTGTTACATTTATTCCACCTGGTTTAAAGTGTCTAAAAAGTCACTACAAAGACTGCAAAAAAAAATGGAAAACATAGGTACATATGCCTACAATTTTATAGAACTAGGTGACAGTCTTCCTTTAAACAAACTTGTTTAAGCACATTAAGTGCTGAATGTGACACGTAGGCCCTCAAACTGAAAACTAAATTACTGTGAGGGTGCCATGCATGTCTCACATCAGTAAATTGAATTTTCGAGTAGTCAGAGTCCTCAATAATTTAAAGACAATGAAGGCAAAGTTGTGAAAGTACACAGAAACAATTGTTTAAAGAGGGCCCTTCGGGATACAGGCACCAAACACAGCCTCTACTTAATTACTTATTCTCATGTTCTTCCTCCATTGCTTCACTCACATACAACTCGTGCTTTAATAGCTTAATGCCCAAAGTACCTTCTAGCCAAAGACTTCAGCTTTCAAATGTAATTCAGAAGCAGGGCTGCTTCATACTGATTCAGTATTATGCTTCATGCATTAAAAGTCTCTTGAGGCTATTTTCAAGTTAGTACATATTGTAATAGCTGATTTTCATACAAAGGGAGAGCTATCAAAATAGACTAGTAATTTGAAATGTACTTCACAGTGGTGAAACTCATGACGCAGTGTCCCCCGCAGCTTTGAGAACAGGACGAAGGACAGGCTGACTGTCCCACTGACAGTTATCTCCACAGAGCTCCTCTCTAGAAGGGAATACAGATCGCAGTGAAGAGCAGAGGAAAGAGCCAGGTAGCTTCCCCGGGGGCGCAGAGAGGTCTCCTTAGGATGAGTAGCGTCCCATGCGCTCCTGTTCTCCTCCTTCCCAAGGAACAGTGCCTTAGGCACGTCGGGAATACTGTTCCTAATATGAAGATACTCCAACTGGAAAACTCCTGGCTCCTAATACTGCCTGGAGATCTTAGACTCACAAAAACAGTACTGTTTGAAGGGAGAGCTCAGATGGGTGCAAAAAGAACTAGATCCATCTGAGGAGCGGAGAGGAAAGAAGATATCTGCCGTTTTTATATAACCATTAGGAAAGTATTTTATCAACTCATTCTCTCGGGCCTTTATCCAGCTGATGATTTCAAATACCTGCTCCGACTTATCTATTTAAGTGATAATTGGTCAAAGGGGTGAATCAGGAGCGTCAGGAGGGAAAATGAGACAGTGGGCTGCAGTTTTAAGCCGCACGGTCAGGGTTATCTCAGAGCAGGTGACATCAGCACATAGCCATGTGGGAGGTGGGTTCTGTCAAAAGCTGGACGATAGCAACAAGCAGAAGTAGAAGCAAGGACGGCCCCGCTTGGGAAGGAGCAGCACGAAGTCCTGACACTGGAATATGAGCAACAGAACCGGATTTGCCAGGCACACTTGCTCATGACGAAAAGCAAAACAAAACAAACCACAGTCTCTCACGTACCCCCAGATCCACTCCCTGTTTCTCTCACAGAGGACACTTTCCTGACCCTTAAATGCAGGAATTAAGGGGGCAGAAATTTCTAGTTATTTCTTTACCTGGTGTTTCCTAACCCTGATGGTTCACTTCATCTCATTCCCTTTTTGTCAACATTTGGGATCCTCTAAGAGTTAGTAAAACTGCTAATGACCCGAGGGCAGGACTGCCATGGAACCTGTGGGGCGCAGCGTGCAGTGGAAATGTGGAGACCCTCATTCAAAAAGTAGTTGCCTTCAAAATTTCAAAATGGTGACGCCAAAGCACTAAACTAAGAGACGGGCTCCCCGGAGCACGATGCCTTGTGTCACCTCACAGGTCACGTGTCCAAGAAGCCAGCCTGCTTCCGGAGTCTAGACTGACCGTGTAGATTTCTACCTCTTCACTTCTGCCTGCACAAACGGAAAAGCAAGCTGGCCTAGATCTTGGCCAAAGATTAGTTTATACCTTAGTTTGGACTACTGCAGGGTTCTAAGGACCTCTAAAAGTCTTTGTGGTTAAAAGAATACAGAATGCAATTCTTGTTACCCAGCATGCCTCACAGTTTAGACAAAGCTGCAAAGTTTTCACGTTGTCAGGAGCACCTACAGACTTTCGTGTGAAGAAGGTACATGAAGGCGTAACAGCCTCCCCAGCTGAGAAGCTCGGTGCCAGCATGTTCAAACAATAAAGCCTCTGCTAAGTTTTCCACAGTTTTGTACCAAGATGACACGTTTCTTCCCGAGAGGAAAAAGTTTCTTCAAACAAATGTGCTACGCCACATCTCTTGCCAAACACAATAGGCCACCCATAAAGGACACCACGTGACAAAGAGCAGTAATTTTACCTCATTAAGGAAACTGCTTTTTGATAGCAGGGCAAAGTTTTTCCAGTGTGCTACCGAGCGATAGTGCGAACTCGCTAGATCCTCTCCTGACGAGGATCCCCATGAGCTTTCTGAAACATTAATGCACAGTTAAAGAAAGAGCTGCTTCTTTAGATAACTGAGTGAGACAAACTGGACTCTAATGAGCTAAGACCACAGTCTAAACAAATGAGCACAGTTCAGTGCCAAAACTGAAACGGGACTTGTGCGTCCCTGCCTCGTCTCAAACTACCCACCCGCATTTAAATGGTATCATTTTGTAAAAAGACTGAAAATTTACTGACAGAAGAAGTTCCCTCACCCAGGACGATGTGAAGTGTAGACTTTCCTAAGATATCTTCAAAGCTGTTTGAGAGCAAGATCTGTGCAGCTTTTCCATAACATCCTAGGCCCTGAGAGCACTTCATCA